TAGGCAGCTAACTGTAATTTACTTAATAAAATTTTGCAAAAACACAAGTTGTTTGTAGAGAAAATTTGGTACAAGTGATCATCAGAAAGAGTTGTGTGATCGGCCCCACACAAATATATTCTATTCCAAAAGACTCAGATTAGAGATATAACCTAAACAATGTCAGACCAATAGCGCTTCTAGAAACTTTTAGAAAATATGTAACTAAAATTGTAACCAAATAATTAGCAAAAGTTCTGGCAGAAAAAAACATTCTAAAAGGTCCAAACTTTGCTGGTTTGCCTGGCAACTCTACAGAGAAACCAGTGCAAATAATTAATACAATAATAGAAGATGCAAAGGACAATAATAAAGAACTTTGGCTAGTTCTACAAGACATGAAAAAGGTCTTTGATTCAGTATTGCTAAGATCTCTAGAGCTAGCTCTGAAAAGGCTCAAAATTCCACAAATAACAGTAACTTTTATACTGAATCTTTTTGAGAACAGACAATCTAAAGTTATCACAAACCTAGACACAACTAAGGGCTTTAAAATAAATGATAGTATTGAGCAAGAAGAAGTGATTTCTTCGCTTGTTTGAAGAATCTTTTACGATCCATTATTGTCAAGAATTTAGAAAGATACAGAGCTAGGATATACTGTGAGACAAAGAATCATAGTTGACAATAACATAAATCAGTACAAAGAGATCACATAGAAACAAGCAATAGTAGTATATGCTAATGATATGATATGGATTGCAGAGAGCAAAACTCAAATGAAAAAGATTATTCAAATTATAAAAGAGTTTTTTAAATTTAATGATATACAAATTAATAGAAAGAAATCTAAATTAATCATTTGCAATTCATTAGAAAAAAAAGAAAGACCGAAAGCTCCTTTTTGGTAATGAGTAACTTGCAGAGGAGAGGAAGAATAAGATTACAAGATTTCTCAGAGTATGGCTAAATAACAAATTAGATGAATCTTTAGTTAAGACAAGAGCAAAAAAGATTGTCTGTTCAACAGCAAGGATTCTTAATCCAAAAAAAATAACAATAGTACAAGCAGTATATATTAATAATATATGTATAGTTCCAAAACTGTGTTATATGCTTCAAGTCTCCAGATTCAAGCAAAGGGTAATTGATAGTCTCCAAACTCTCTCATTCGTGCTGACCAAAAACAAAATAGAACTTGCAAGAACTATAAACAATAGTACAATTTTACACAGAAGTATTGGCAACTGCAATGCTTTATGGAACAAATTCTTAACAAAACAGATCTCTAGTTTATATTTGTGATTAAATACCTCCGGTTCAGAGGAGATTTTGACATTGCTAAGAATAATCAATAGTATGAGAATGATTGGATCAACAGAGAATACATGGCATGAAGAACTACCAGCAGCTTTTGTACGTATTTGAAAAAACAATCTAGTATGCTGAACAATGTTAAATGCTAGAGAACTAGAAATCATGCTAAGGTTCAGAAATACAACTCTGATTACAAAAAGCAAAGACTACAGATTAGCAAGGATACTCAAAAAAAATTTTACTATGCCAGTTGCTAGAACTTTAAGAAAATTGAACTTGATTTCACTTAAGCAATTGCTTACAAGCACAGGAGACCAGTTAATAACTTGGCAGCAGCTAAAGATTCTTAGAAATAGCTTCAGTAAAAGAAAAAAAGCAAAGTGATTTCAAACAATAGAAGAAAGAGTTCTAAAAGACAAGAAAAAAGAATTGTCAAAACAGAAGACCTGAATGCTTAGATAATTCAAACTGTCCCAGACCATTTAGAAGACGATCAAAGAAAGAAAGACTAGATTCTAGTTCAAAATACGAAGAACAAAGAAAACAAAAAACCAGTTATTAAAAAGATCATTAAAAGAAAGGAAAAGCAAAAAGGGTTTTTAACAGAACACTGAAATGCAGAAAAAGATCTGAACATGCAAGTGGTCAAACTTAAAAGATGTAACGGTTATAAGCTTGATTAAGAAAAGCAGAAAAATTCATGCAGATCACTATGAGTCATTATAGGGAACTATTACGAAATACGTAAACAAACAGAGAAAGAATGCCATCAAGATCGACCAAAAAGCATTCAAAATAGTTCAATGACTTCCAAGATCAGAAATTTTACTAAGTGAAAGAGAAGTTCAAGAAATTCGCTACTATAATTTGGATATTGAAATCATTGATAAGCAACATTATCAGTGAAAAAATAAAGAAAGATCTTATAGAAAAGAATACAGAAATGAAGAAAAGCCTACTATGGTCTCAAATGATATTCTATACCGATAGATCTCTTAGAGGTGGAAATATATCTATACAGAATGAACTAGCTAGAATGGGAGCTAGCTAGATACAAGTCAATAAGATCAAAGACTAAAAGATAAATAAGAGCTTTTTCAGAGCAAGAAATTAGCCATCAACAATGAAAGCAGAACTACTTGGAATTTGGTATATGCTTCTCTTGATACCAAGAAAAAGAAAGGTAAAAATTTATACGGACAGTGTAGTGGTGATAGAAAGTATAGAAAGAAGGAGAAAAAAGAAAGCAATGCGTCAAATTTTTAAAGAGAATAATTATAGCTTAGTAAATTGTATAGCTGACATAATTAGGATTAAGAAAATTCAGCTAAAATTAGTAAAGATTAAAGGGCACAATAATAATACATAGAATGATTTGGCAGATAGTTTAGCAAAATTAGGTTTTAAAATAAACAATAAAGAGAACATAGTAGGAAAATCTCCCCAAGAGTCGAACATCTCTTTGTATTGAGAAGGTGTAATAGTTGAAAAACCTCCAAGACAATTCATCCAAATGGTTCTTTATTTTCAAATGAGCTTAGACTAGAGAATATCATCTGCAATACAAAAAGAAGAACCGAACAATATATCTGAAACAAATTACTAGCCGATTTTGTGAAGAAAAATCAGAAATCAAAATAAAAACAAATATACTAGCTCGAAGAAAAACCAATAGCTAGGGTATTGATCAAATATCTACATAAAAGATTATCAGTGCTTAAAATCTTGGCTACTAGAGGACCAGATCTATATGAAAACCCTTTTTGTATAATTTGTAGAAAAAATGAAGAAGAGGATCAAGCTTATCTAACAAATATGAGAAGTATGAAGAAAGATGAACTGAATTAGAACAAACTATATCAAATATAGTTTGAGCAGTTCTATCTACAGAAGCAAGAAATCAGCTTAATAAAGTCCAACTCAAGAACACTCTATGGGGCCCAACAAGAGAAGAAAGAATCAGAACAAAAGCTGACATCCTCAAGGGTTTAATTCAGAAAAAAGTCTTTAGAAAACTAATCGACATTATAAAACCGCTAAAAGAAGCAAGAAATTATTTAAAAAATGGCAGTGAATTTAGCATGAAATTTTTTTTACAAAAATATTTGGAAACGAAAATGCTCAGTTGTCAACGAATAGAAAAAAGAAGGTATAGACAATAAAAAGAAGAAAAGATAGAATCCAAAAGCAGAGAGCTTGGGTTTCATGTAAAACTACTAGGAAATTTCCAGATGATCAAAACCAAACCAAAGGAAAGGTAAAGAAAAAAGGAAGAAAAGGAAAAAAGGAGGAAAAAAAACAAAAAAAAAATGACTTGGTTTGCATTAATTAAAGATTATATTGTAAATAAAGCAAAACCATTTTGGTATGGTTTTGCAGGCTAGCTTGGTGCAGCCCCCGGTGTAGGCATAAGCCTTATCCAGTAAGGCAGACCGCTCTTGGGTGCCCCTAGGGGTAGCTAAGAGATGTTAGATCTGTAACTTAGATAGTTAATATATGTATATATATGCTTTGATCTAATAAAGATACTGGCAAGACTACCGAAAAGTTAAAAAAAAAAAAAAAAAATATTATCATAAACTCATCAAATAAAAGTGCTAGTTTCTGTAAAAAATATTAACTCTTTATATCTAACTAATAATTTTATAAAACCTGTTTTGAAAAACAAAATTACTAGTTAGCTTTTTAAATTTTTAATTTTTTTAAAAAGTTAATAAATTTTAAAAATCACCTATTATATTGGAAGTTAAGATTTCTGCCATATTTTAAATACGTATAATCAAGTGTTTACAATATTTAGTTTTATTTTAGTTTTCTAGTTTTGTATATTCGTGAGTATACAAAATTATGTGATTATATAGAGGTTGTGATTATATAGATGATGATTGTAGGGAGGGATAACTAATTTTTCAATGAAGGTTTCATCAAACAATATAATTTACGAAAAAAATTTCTGTGTGCTGACTTATCTATATTTGTTAAAAAGAATTCATAATTCGATTCTTTAGTAACAAATTTAGGAATTGTAATACAGATACTGCATATAAAATATCTAATTCAAAGAATGTTACCGAAATCCTTTACTTGATCTAATTCAGGCTTTTTATTTGATTCTATCTAGTAGTCTCTTGTAAAATAATAATTCAATATTTCGGCCGACATAGCTCTACCATTTGTCGTTCTTTGGCGTTACGCCAAACCCCTCCTTTCTTCAGTTTTGCCCGCTTCGTCGAAATCAATGGAAGGTAACTGTTAGAATGAGACATTGTGTTTGTTTTTTCAGGATTGCTCCATTTTATAAATTTTTTTTCAAAAAAAAATAAAATAAAATGAAAACTTAACTGAGCAGAACTTCAAAAGGCACCGGAGCTAATAATCACTTGGGGAAGGGAAAAGCTTCACCTCGATTTTACTGAACAAGGGACGGGGTCACTCGAGGAAACGACATTAAAGCAATTGAAAGAACGACTAAAAGAGATCACCGGGGTGCCAGTAAACGGACAAAAATTGGTTTTTTCAGGAGGTAAAAAAAGAAAAAAAAAATTAATTGTTTAGGGTTAATTATTTTAAAATTTAATAACTAGATTAAGGAGAAATCTTATCATTATGATTATTTTTAAATTAGCCGTAATGAAAGATGAAACAGCGACTTTGACATCATTTGGATTACAGCCATTTTCAAAATTACTTTTAATGGGATCAAAACCAAATGTAAGGTTTATATGTATTTTTTATTAATAATTTAATATATTTATTGATTGAACTTTCATTTAATATATAATAATTCAGGCCAAAGATTTAGCACAGACAACAACAGGATCATCCGAAGAGCATGCACTCATAACGCGCATTTCACAATCGGTCGAAAAAACAAGGACAACTTTGATTCCACAAATAGAGTCTTTCGAAACTTCAGTGGCTACATTCCTATCGTCCGAAGACAACGATGACACAGTCCTGTCGAAACTAACAGAAACTCATACTTGCATTGTTGAAACATTGATGCAATCCCTTCTCACATTGGATTCAGTTGATTGTCCACCAGAATTTGAGACTGCTAGACAAAAAAGGAGAGAGGCGGTTAAGTTTACTCAAGGATTGATCGAGCGAGTAGATGAAGTAAAAGAGCAGTTATTGCGACCGGACCAGCAAAATATAATATTACCCAACGCATCTTTATAATCTTCATTCGTGTATTTAATTATGTGAAATAGAATTTAGGATATATTTTCATGTAAAATAATTAGGGTATTGACATTTGTTACTTAATAATGTCGTTTTTAATAGAGACTCGCTACTTTCGTGTAAGACATGTAAATGTAAACAATTAAACACAATGTGGGATTTGGTCTATTCACCCTAAAATATTATAAATTTAGTTTTTTACATATTTATTGTCAGGAGCCCAATGGATAACCAGGTTTTATGTTTACGTTCACGTCGTTGTTTTATTAAATAAATAATTCCATTCAATTAATAAAAATTATTATAAAACGCTGTATTTAATCTTAAGAAAAAATATTATTTTCATCCTTAATTCCAATAACTTCCTTAGTAGTCTTTACTATAAGGTCAAGTGCCCTGTCTACATGTTCCTCAGTGGTCCATGGGCTTCCTGCGGCAAATCTTATAACGAATTGATCATTTAATTTAGTGTGTGTTAAATAAATTTTTTGAATTTCATTCAAACGATTATAAACTTTTTCAGTGAGCTCATTTGATGTTT